CCTGTATCAACTAGATTATCTAACCGCTTATCAATTACGATTTTGCTTTTTATTAATGGATAATACCCTGTTGATATTGCAGCATGTCCTCGCTTCCCATTAATTTTGCACCATTCTACATCTTGGCTTATCTGTTTATTTCTTTCATCTCAGTTAAACTGCTTTACAGCTGCTTCAGATTTGATTCTTGGCTTTTTTATTACAGAATTGGATGTTACTCTTAAGCGAAATTTTGGTTTCATTTTTATTTTATTCTATAATAATAAACATTTTAAACTATCATGTAAAATTAAACTGTAATCTATAAAAGCAGCAAAGTAAACCAATTGATTTTGAAGTCTTTTTTTTTTTTCAAGTTGCACTAAACAAAGTAGCTGTTAATAGAAATTTATACTATTATAAGAATTGTTAGTAAATCAAAGTAAAATTTAGAACATAAAGAGAAGAAAAAAATATAAAAATACTGAAGTTACTTAAGAAAATGATGTTCTTCATGTTTATTAAGAAATGAAAAAATTGGCACAAAAAAACATGATTTTTCTAATTATTATGAAAAATAATAAAGTAATTATAGACTTCTTTATATTATAAGATGCATATATCAGGCAGATAATACCTTACAAAATATCTCCATGATTGAGTTAGTTGTTAAGGAGATATTAACAAAAATAGAATTGTCTTTTTAAGGGCACCTAGCCAAAAATATACAATTTTCAAGTACAAATGAAATAGTAAAAATAAAATTGAATAATTTTTCAACCACCAGGAAGAAATCATATTGCTCTAGACAAAAAAAAAATTTAAAAATTTAAAAAAAAAAAAAAAAAACTATACCAAATTTTTTAAAGCATATTTAAATTTGTTGTCTTTTTAAGGGCACCAAAACAGGTAGTTTACCTGTACACCAAACTAATAACACTAAAAGTACCAATATTTTGTTACACAAAACTAATAACACTAAAAGTACCAATATTTTTTAGATACGAGCATTTTTAGTTTTTTTCTTTCAAATAAATTTTTCTATCTTTTTCATACGTGCAATCAAGCACTTTGATGTCTAAAAAAATGAAGGGAGTTTAGAGGCCATTATATTTTATTGAATCAATTTTTTTTTTTTTTTTAATCTTTCTTTTTGCAAACTAAGTTTAATTTTATTATCAGTGTTAACATATTCAAAGGATCAATAAAAATATAGAGTAATTAAAAGTGTGAAAGCAAATAAAAAAGATATTTATATTCACAGGAAATCTAGTTTACTTTCTTAATTTTTACTTAATATTAGCTTATTTGATCTTCTTTTTTTTGTTTACTAAAGGGCGACATCCGTCATTCATACTTTTAAACTCTAGTGTTTAAATTTTTTATTTTATCGTCTAGTTAGTTTTCCTACTATATTTAGAAGGTTTTTGAGTATTTATTTAAAAAAAATTGAATATCTAATGTTATCATATTTTTTATCAAATTATCTATGTTTTGTATTCTCTACAAAAAAGGTTATGCTTTTTTACTATTATGTATTTTCATCAAGATTGGGGTCAAAAAAGAAACTAACTAATAATACTTAACTAATAATTTTTAAGAAGAATTACCAACTATTCACCAAAGAAAATAACAATATTTTAAAGAATTTTTATAACTAACAATTGAAAAAGTTACTTCTGCAAGTATGCTTTTATTAACGTTGTGGCGCGAAAAATGACTATTTTTTAGTTTAACTAAAATTTTCATTCCAATTCAATCAACTTTTTTTTCATTTTTTAACATTTGGCATTTTTGTTTTATTCTTATTGAGTTCGTAGAGACTTAGTTAATCTTTTGCTTATCGTCATGATCATTTCACAACCGCCTAAATCATATTTTCATGTTATGAGAAATTATAAAAAAATCAAATCGCCATCTATTTTTATACATCAAATTAAAAAAAAAAATTCTGATTAATTTAAGATATAATCTTAAATTAATTAGAAAATAGTTTTTTTGTTTGTTTGTTTTATTGAGATGTAAGAGAAAAAATAGTGATTTTTTTTTGATTTCTCACCACATGAAAAAATGATTTAGGCGATTGTAAGTGATCGTGACGATATGAAGAATATTCTGAATGTATAACCATATAATAATTTTAAAGACAATTCTTTAGATACTTGATTTGTACAAAGACTACAAATTTCAAACTGGAAAATTTTCTCAAAGCTTATCTATTTATTAAAATTTAACTTGCAATTGTGAATCAATTTTTTTTTTTCACAAAACCAGTATTTTTATGGTAAAGTATAAATCAAACTTTATAAATCTTCCTAAAATTTTTTGTAAATATTTCTAAAAATAACTATCTTTTGTTGTCATAACCAAAAGCTGCAAATTCTGTATTCATAATGAGTTTAATATATAACCATTTAGTTAGAAGATAACTTTTTATTTCTTCCGAAAATTCAATTGATAATAAATTTTTTTAATTTATAAAATAGTTATTGTAAACTGAGTTCGTATAAAATGCTAAACATGATTGCATAGTTCATTGCAAAGAAATCTGATTTTCTGATTTATTGCTGATTCTTATTAGCTGATTTTCTAGTTTATTGTTACAGAAAACTTTCCTTCGTCGCCATTAGTTTTAAAATCATCTAGCTATTGTCGCTACTAGATATAGAGTTTGTTGTAAAATGTCTAAACCCAGCGGGCACAGACGTCAATCAGATGTCTTACGGACGACTTAACTAGGTCGCGACGTCTCAGACCAAATTAGGACGTCCTAAAGACGTCCGGTAGAGACGTCTTTGTTAGGACGTCAAAGTGACGTTAATATAAAGACGATATTAGGATTTCCATATTTAGACGTCCTATTGACGTCGCTAAGACCTACATTAGACGTCCTAATTACCTTAAAAATAAGTTAAAAAATTTATATTAACAACTTGGCGCATACAATATTATGCGCTAACTCGGTTAATTAAAAATGTCTACTTGTTTTGGTTGATATTAATAATGATATTATTAATTTTGTTTAGTTATTTATCGTTTAAAAATATTTTTCAATTTTCTATATTCTATACTCTATGATCTATAAACTATAATCTATACAATTTTTAAATTAAAGAAAATTTAGTTTAGTTATTAAGTGTAACTAAGTTACAATTATAATGTATATATATATATATATATATATATATATATATATATATATATATATATATATATATATATATATATATATATATATATATGTATATATATATATATATATATATATATATATATATATATATATATATATATATATATATATATATATATATATATATATATATATACATATACATATATGCAAAGATTTGTAATATCTTGCTGTAAAAATAAGTAAATAAATAAATTGTATATATTCTGTTGTTCACGTGTTGTTTCATTCAATTTGATGATTTTTCCTTTGATGGGTTTGATGAATTTGATGGGTTGTATATACAATTTTAAGATTATTACTTATGTTGATACCTCGTTACTGTATTGTTTCGTTTAATTTAATAATTGTTCCATTGTGGGATGTATATATAATTATTTATACATGATTTATACATTATATTATAATGTTTACATAATGTATACATATTCATTATATATATATATATATGTATATATATGTATATATATATATATATATATATATATATATATATATATATATATATATATATATATATATATATATATATATATATATATATATATATATATATACACACACATATACATATACATATATATATATATATATATATATATATATATATATATATATATATATATATATATATATATATATATATATATATATATATATATATATATATATGTATGTGTGTGTATGCGTGTGTGTGTATGTGTATGCTTGTGCATGTGTGTGTATTGATAAATGTGGTATACTATTCGAAATACAACTCTGAAAGGAAAAAAAAAAATTTTCTCCATCGATTTGATTCTGCTGAGTATTGGATATTTGATGTTAGATGCTGTTGCAACGCTAAACTTTTCAACTATTAGTTTTTCAGGATATTCAAAACATTTTCAATATATGCAAGTTGAGGCATATATTTTTGTAATATATTTATTTTTTAATCTTTTTCACTCATCAATCATAGAAAAATTATGAAAAGTGTCAAAAAAAAAGTAAAAGCAACTTATCTAAAAGCGAAATTAAAAAGAAAATAAGGGAAGACAAATTTTGCATTTTTTCCGGATATTTTATTCAACCAACTTTCCAGATTTTTAAAATATGACTAGGATGATCTATGTTTGATAAATGTATATATATATATATATATATATATATATATATATATATATATATATATATATATATATATATATATATATATACAAATAGAATTGCAATGTTCTTAAAGATCAGAGCAATCAGGGTTGCATAGTCATAGAGTTGGAGTTGCTACATTGAAAGTGGCGTCAGAGTTGCTAAACAAAATCGCAATTCAGACTCAAATAGTAAAACTTCTCTGTATTGCATGTGCATGTACAATTTATTTAACCTTTAAACAAATTTTCATATATTTTGCAAAAAAGATTTTTTTTAATCATTGCATAATATTTTTTTAAAGAATTCAAAAAAATATTCAAAAAATTTGCTTTGCAGTCGGAATTGGAGTCAGAGTCGTTCTCTGAAATTTTTAGAGAAAATTTAGAGAACATGTATATACATGTATATATATATATATATATATATATATATATATATATATATATATATATATATATATATATATATATATATATATTTATATATATATAAATATATATATATATATATATATATATGTATATATATATATATATATATATATATATATATATATATATATATATATATATATATATATATATATATATATAGATATATATATAGATATAGATATAGATATATATATATATATAAAGTAGCGATTCTTTACAGTTTTTAGTGTTAGACAAAAATCTTATTATTTTCTTGAACTTTACTTGTTTATATATTTTTTTAAGGTTAAGCATGAAATTTGAAATTTTTTGCATTATTAAGTTTAAATCTACCTCTTTTCAACCATATATAAGAAGTACTATTTACTATTTTATGTACTGTTTATATTGCTTCACTTACATATTTTACTTTTCAGAGTTTCAAAAAAAAGTTTTATTTCAATTTGCTGAAATTAACAACATTTTAGTAGATATAACTGCACAGTTCTCTAATGATCCAGAAGAAGGTTTTACACAACGTAAAATTTCAGATGAACTTAATGTTTTGAAAAGAAAAATTGCAAATATAGATATCCAATACATCGCTTTTGTATTAGTCAGTTTTATCTTTATAGTTTATATGTTATATATTGTTACAATAATTCTTTTAAATTGTCATAAACATTTTCAATGTTTCTTTCACATTGTTTCTTTTTAGGTAAAACAGTTATCATTAATTAGCGGTAAAAAATCGAGTAGATACAATTAAAAATATTTTGCTCTTGTAAGTAATTAGCAAAAGTTTGAATTTTAACATTTATGATTGACCGTACATTATTTATCATCTTTTTTATATATGTAGACTACCAACAGACATTATTTTGTCCGAATACAGCATGAATGGTCTAAAGAAGAAAAAAAAGTTTAAAGAATTGACAAGTCTATGTAATGCTGGTATTCTTATTTGCTTATTAATGTGTTTGAATAACTTTTAAAATTAAAAATGATGTTTTAATAAAATATATATATTTTTTTATTCTTTGGCTATGGAACCTGACATGTATTCAAGTATATTTTATTTTATGATCTTATTGAAATATGTCTTGTTGTTTTTATTAGAAACTGCTTTAAAGTCAAATAAAAACAAAATGGATGCCATCCATCCAACTTATTGGGAGAGTAATTAGGAATTCTTCTGACCGATTAAAGAAAACATCCACTAATATGAATATCGATCAATGATCGGCTTAATTAGCTGTTGTATTTTTTATTTATTTTCCATTTTTCAGCAATTTTCTTCTATTTATAATGCACTATCGATTACATTCTACAGTACCTAATAGTTTTTAATTTGGAAAGGGTAATTTTATTTGAAAAATTATTCTTATTTTTTGTAAAGTAATTAATTTATTTTAAATATATCAAATTACACTTTATTTACTTAGATTTCTTTTTATAACTTCCCTTGCCTAAATTAAGGAAAATCTAAGGTGTGTGTTGTAATTTATTGCGTTTTTATATAACTTTTAAAAGAATGTCTTGGTAATATTAAGACGTCTCTAGGACGTCTGAATAAGACGTCCTTAAGTTATTCATATGACACCAGTCAGAGACATCTCTAAAACATCTGCAAAAAATGTCTTTAGAACATTTATATATATATATATATATATATATATATATATATATATATATATATATATATATATATATATATATATATATATATATATATATATATATGCTAAGATTTGTAATATCTATATATAATATATGTATATATATCTATATTATAATATATGTATATATATATATATATATATATATATATATATATATATATATATATATATATATATATATATATATATATATATATATATATATATGCTAAGATTTGTAATATCTTTGCTGTAGAAATAGGTAAATGAATAAATAAATTGTATATATTTTGTTGTTCCTGTGTTGTTTCGTTCAGTTTTATGATCTTTCCATCTCTGGTTGTATAAATAATTATTAAGATTATTTCTTATGTTGACACCAAGTTACTGTGTGGTTTAATTTAATTTGATGTATTATTATTTATATATACATGATTTATACATTAATGTTTATATGATGCATACATATTCATTATATTTTTTTTTTTTTTTTTTTTTTAACATCTTCACTTCCAACAAGGCTGCAAGCAACCACTATAAGAGTTGGAAGTTACTGGAAGAGAAAAGACTAAATCTGTAGAGCAAGATAACGATTGACTGATGACTTAAAAGATTGCAAATTATATGAATCAGGAAAGCAAGATGAAGGAAGCGAATTCCAAAGAACTGATGTTCGAGGAAAAAAACTAGAAGAATAAGAGTTTTTGAAGCACTTAGGAACAGTCACAGAAAAAGGATGAGACTTAATTGAATGGCGAGTAACACGAGAATGAATTTTAGTAGATGGCACAAGGGACGCTAGCTCTTTAGAGCAGTGCCCATTATAGTATTTGTAGAAAAGAGAAAGAGAAGCAACATTACGACGATGTGACAAAGGTTGGAGATTGGCTGCCAGAGCAGGTCCAACTATGTTTACAATTCGTTTTTGCACCTTGTCTAAAAGAGAAAGAGCATCATTGGAAGATCCGCCCCAGATGTGGCAACAGTATTCCATACAGGGACGGATTTGAGATTTATAGAGATAGAGAATAGAATCTGGAGTAAGAAAGTGTCGAGCTCGATAAAGAGATGCAACCTTAGCAGATGCTAATTTTGCAATGGATTTGATATACGGTTTAAAAGAAAGATCAGAAGTAAGAGTTAATCCTAGAAGATGAATGGTAGATGACTCATCTAGTACATTACCATTCATAAATATAGGAAGATCTAAATTATTACGATAACGATTGGCCGAATAAAATTGAGTTTTATCTGAATTAAAGTTCACCAGCCACTGTGAGCCCCATGCTGTAGCAGAAGTGAGATCCTTTTCAAGCTCAGATACCCCCTCCAAGCAATCAGAGAGTGTAGGCTTCTTATCATGACAAGAGTAAATGGTAGTGTCGTCAGCGAATAATGCCACCTTAGATGTGAGAATATCTGGAAGATCATTAATGTAAATTAAAAAGAGTATAGGGCCAAGGATTGAACCTTGAGGAACCCCTGAAGTTACAGGATGTGAAGAAGAGTGTTGTCCATCGAGGACAACTTTTATACTACGATTGGAAAGAAAGGACTCAATAATCTTAAAGACGTTACCAGCTACACCATAAGAAGAAAGCTTATGGAGAAGACCAGCATGCCAAACTTTATCAAAAGCTTTAGAAATGTCAAGTGCGATAGCCTTAACCTCTCCACCTCTATCTAATGCACGGTAAAACCTATCGGTTATTACTGTTAGCACATCAGCTGTAGAACGAGAAGACCGAAATCCATATTGATGGTCAGAAAGTAAGTTATTTGATTCAAGATGAGAGATTAAGTGTTTGTTAATTAAAGATTCAAAAACCTTGCTTATGACAGGAAGAAGACTAATGGGACGGTAGTTAGATGAATCAGATCGCTCTCCGGAATTTTTGAAAATAGGGATAACAGATGCTGCTTTCCAGCATGATGGAAAACAAGACTCTGATAAGCACTTGTTAAATAGTTTAGAAAGTATGGATGAAAGCTCCGGAGAACACCTCTGCAAAACTACAACAGGAATGTTGTCAGGACCACAAGCTGTTGAAGAGTCTAAGCAGGAAATTACTTTAGATACAGAAGCTGAAGTGATGCGAATGTCAAGCAAGGGATCAACCTGTTTGACGGCTATGTCAGGTAAAACGCAACTAGTGGAATCAAGAGATGATATTGATGAAAAGTTCTTAGCAAACAATTCAGCTTTGTCTTTAGGTGAGGTGACAAAGTCTGAACCATACAAGAGAGAAGGAATAACAGATTTGCCCTTATTATTGATACTGTTAAAGATTCTCCAGAAGTCTCGAGAGCCTAATTTTTGTGATGAGATACGAGATTTAATGACCTGGGAATAGCGTGTTTTGGCGTCAGACAAAACCTTTTTACAATGGTTTCTGGCGATAGTGAACAGATGTCTGTTTTCTGGAGAATTGTTTTGCTGATAGATATGGAAGTAACGGTTTCGATTAGAAATTGCTGCAGCGCAATGTGAGGAAAACCAAGGAGAAGAGTGAGGCTTAACCTGGAATCGTCGAGAGGGAATAAAAGATTCCATGCCAGCCTGAATCCACGAAGTTATGTAAGAAGCACATTTGTCAGCAGGAAGACGAAAGATTTCTACCCAAGGGCCATCACGAAGAAAATCACGGAAAGAGTCCCAGTCAGCTTTAAGGTAGTTGTATGTGGTACGATGATAGGGGGATTCTGATGAAGTAGAAGAATTTGATAATAGTTTTAGAGAGATCAAACCGTGATCAGAAGTACCTAAGGGTGAATGTGGAGAAATTGAGCACTGACTAGGATCCAAAACAAGACATAAGTCGAGTAGAGAAGGTAAATGATTAGGGTTGTCTGGAAAACGAGTTGGAAAGTTGACTATTTGAGTTAGAGATTGAGAAAGGCAAAAGTTGAGGGCCTTATCGCCAGCAGAGTCACTGACACTAGAGCCAAGCCAATCGGTATGATGGGCATTAAAGTCACCAACAACGACGATATTGGCCGATGGATAAAGAGAGAGGGCTTGGTCAATTTGATCCGAAATAACATCAAGAATAGTGCAATCTTGGGATGAAGGAGAGCGATATAGAACAAAGAGAAAGGCGATAGAGTGAAGTTGTGCTAAACGAAAGCACATAAATGAATAGTCTGTAGATTCAAACCTAGTTTCACGACAAATGGGTGAGTTCTTACGAATGTAGATGCCCAGGCCAAGCATGTGATTATTGGAGTCTTTACGAATTAAAGGAAGATAACCATCAACACTAAGATCACAAGATGGGACAGCCAAACTTAAATTAGTCTCACAAAGAGCAAGTAGGTCTGGTGAACTTTGCAAGAGATAAGACTCAACAGAAGAAAAGTTACTTCGAAGACCACGAATATTAGTAAATGATAGGTTTAGAGAACTTGGTGATGACAATGGTTTTTTGTGTTTTTTAGTTTTAGGTACTTTAGTCATTTTAAATTTATAAAGAACTTGACTCAAGTATAGATAGTACTCAGTACACTATTTAACAACTAAGCAATAGCCTCATTACTCTTAATAAACCCTAAGCCGTAACAAAGGGCTCCAAATGTGGCCTCTGCAATGCACACCAAAAGTACAAACAGGGACACCATCCATGCGCAACATGGCACTGTTAGTACTCTGATATTTTTCGGCTGTTGATGGAATCAGCCTCTCTGAGAGCTACCACAGAGTTCGGGAAACCTGACTACCAGCCGGCCTCAGAACCATAAAACTGAGTTTTAGAGCTGTACCCTCATTAGGAGATAATAGAATGAGTTGCCCAGTCATAAAAATAGAGACACAAGCAATACCCACGCATTGAGTCAAGAAGATCCAGCGTTCAACATCCTAAACTGGAAACAATGTATTAAGAATACATCTGCGCCAGCCTAATAGATGAGGAAGGGGTGCGAGGCTGGTCAACAGATAGAATCTGTTTACCCCTTAAGTCTTTGCCAAGGAGGCCTTCTACAAGACAGCAGCTGGATGCATGTAACATCTGCCCAAGATGAGTATTTTTATCGAGACACCATCTCTAGCCTTTACTCAACCAAGAGCCCCAAGGCAGGGGGTGTTTTAATTCGGAGTTAACTTCTCCTAGCCTTTGCCTAAAAAAGCGTATCCTACAAGGCAGCAGGACATGGAGCAGGTTGTACTGGGTTACATGTTACCAGTAGCAGGAAAACCTGACCTGACCTTAGTATATATATAGTATATATATAGACCTTAGTATATATATAGTATGACCTTAGTATATATATAGTATATATATAGACCTTAGTATATATATATATATATATATATATATATATATATATATATATATATATATATATATATATATATATATATCAATATATATATATATATCAATATATATATATATATATATATATATATATATATTTATATATATATCAATATATATATATATATACATATATATATATATATATATATATATATATATATATATATATATATATATATATATATATATATATATATATATATATATACATATATATTCTTATAAGGTTAAGCATTATTCAGTTTAAATCTACCTCTTCTCAACCATATAT